CTCAATTTTACCCCTTCGCGTGACAATTATAAATGTGTAAACGCTTATTACAAAATGTTTCTGAATGTTTTTATTTTGATCAGATTTTGACAATTGTAAATTATGCACTAAACAACATTGCCAAACTAATCCCGATTAAATCAGATCAGAAAATTTAGTTCAAATAAAAACATCATTAATTAATCCTTTGACTACTAGCATAATGAAATATTTACTTATTGTGTTAAAAGTAGAAATCTTAATATAAAAAGTTTCAATTGAGTATAATAAGTGTAATTTTTATACCCGTATAAGACTAGATATAGAAAGTTAAAAGTCGGTACAAAATATGTTTATTTTAGAATAATTGGAGAGCTAAAATGGACATATTTTCTTTGTCCTCTAATTATCTAAATGTGTAAATGTATGTTTCTCTATATATTTGTACAGTGCCAATTGGATATTTTTTTGCCAACTGTTACGATATGCAGGTTATTTTGCTGTATTTTAAACTTATAAATGAAATTAAAGTTGAGGATTGGATTGTTTTTGTTGATCTCAAGCACATGATAATACATTAATCATAATTAAACATTGTACAAGGCATTTTCTAGTGTTTATGGCTAATGATAACAAGGTATTCGACAGCATTACAAAAATGTAATTATGCTCGGGTTTATGTTATGATGTAACAATGTAATATGTTTCTATGTTGGATTCCTATATATTTTTGGTACTCCATAGTCCATACTTCATTAGATGTCATTTTTTTTATTGACATCAAGGATGTCTTATGCGTTTATTCCCTTCTCCCTCCATATAAGTTGTGACATACTAGTATTTGTGACTACTTTTCTTTCTTCATTTATTCATCGGAATTACGGTGTATTAATTATATTACATATCATCATAAACTTAATACTCCGTAAAGTACAAGTCATACAACGAGAATAAGTACATGTTTAACTTCATTCCATTTGTTCGAGTATACAGAATGTGCATTTTAAGAGTATATTGTTTTGTTTTGTTTTAAAAAAGTTTTGAATTACAATTCAAAAATATTTTAATACGCTTTTTATAATATTGGACTATCACATGACCTTGAAGAACTTTAGAGAGCCTCTTGGCCCAGAGTATGTGATCCAATCATGATCACAAAAAAATTTATACTAGCAGGTATTTGCCAAAGTACTCAAATGTATAGATTTGTTGTAACATAATGGGCCTTTTTGTAAATAGCAGCAATGTTGAATTGGCTGAAATGGTTGAATAGACTGAAATGAAAGTGTTTGGTAAATGATACTCCGTAATATATTGATAGAAATGACTGATTAAATGTAAAATTTTATAAAAGGTATAAGACTGTTATACGGGAAAAAAAATCAGCCCAAGGCCCCAATTTGATAGGTGTTTGGCAATTTTTATGCCTTTCCGGCTTATCAGGCTACTTTTGGTGCTCCAAACGGCCCCAATTGTGAAAGTATTTTGAATGAAAATTAAAAAATTAAAAATTTTACCAGAATGAACAAATTGTTAAAAAATTAAAAAAATTTAACAAAAGTCTAAGCTATCTATTTTTTAATTACTAACAAAATAATAATATTGGGATCTAGAGAAAATAAAAATTATATTTCGATAACTATTACGGAGTACAAAGCAAACAATAGAGTTACAAATTGTGAAATTATCCTAAATAGGACTAAAACGTTCGTATATTTCAAAATATGACTATCATGTTTTTATTCCCAAAATATGACTAATTACTACCATGTTTTGGCAGCACCAGACTAAATTAGTGTTAAGCTTGTATTAATTAAACTTGGGAGACCACGTTTAAAAATATGTGTTTGAAGGAAGAATCCTTTTATTCTTCTAATGTGAGAAAAGAATTTTTAGAAGTAAAAAAATTGAAATGTTTATACACACTCTACATCGAACAGTTAAACAGACATGCTGAACTTGATAATTGATATGGAACTAGAGCCATGCAAGTGCACACGGCAATCAGCTTACGTTATACTACCTCCGGTTTTTTTTAATCTTCACAGTTTGACTTCACACAAAATAAGGAAAGAAATTTGACTTTACTGTAGAGTACACTGTTGAGGCACTGTTTGACACTGTAGAGACACTGTTTGGCACTGTTGAGGCACTATTTGGCACTGTTTGACACTGTTTTGATGTAGATTTCTTTGCCAAAAAAGGAAATAAGGAAGTGTGAAGTTTATTTTAGACCGTCCCAAAAAGGAAAGTGTGAAGTTTATTAAAAACCGGAGGGAGTACTAATAACACGGAATTTAGGTTCAAATTGACTTTCTTCGTAATTACACTATTATTTAACAATACTGCATATGTCGTATAATACATATATATACTAGTAAATTTATTTACGGAGTATTTTTTAGGTTGGGCCTGGACCCTCCATGGGCCCATGGCCCAGAGTTAGATCCGCCCTTGTATATAGCCCATTGTAAATCATATGATCAAGTTGAATATATCTTTCAATTCATAATTCTACATGCTATCAAGAGTCATTCTCCAAAGAGCAAATCATTCAATTTTTTAATCCTTCTCGTGAATAACTCATCATGGTAATCACCACAACCACCACCATTATTCCGCTCACTGCCACAACCCACTTCCCTATCAAACTGACGTCCTCCAACTTTTCCATTTGGAAGTGCCAGGTTCACTCCGCTCTTATTGGAGTTGGACTTGATGACTACTTGGTTCCGACTACTCTGACCTCATGTCCTCCATCTGTGTTCGTGAAACTGCCCTCCCTCTTACCGAGCTTCAACAGATCCTGCTTGAACGGTAAACTCGTATTATCGAGGAGGCCGCCTCTACTCAAGTGCTACTGACACCAATGCCACCGAGGGCACATCTAAGTCCCACGTGCAACATGACCGTCACACTCACTCCAACAATGACCGCATGAACTCTTACCCTCGCCATGGGAGAGGCACTCCATCTCATCCCTCCCGCAACTCATGTATAACACTTCTACACAACTTGTTACTATAAACTAATAAAGTACAATTATTTCATAATAAATTACAAAAAGCGCTAAAATATAAAGAAGTACATAAGATCTTTGTTGTCCTCTTCTTCTGCTTAGACGCATATCCGTCTCATTTTGAACCCTTGTTTCTTGACGATGCCCCATTTGAGAAGTTCGTGATAAACATTTCGGCAGTACCCAATATTCGACAACTCATTCATATTTGGTAAACGCAAAATATCACCTGCATGTGCATTAATGTAAGAGCTAATTTTATATGCCTCTGGAATAAGTTGATCGTCAGGGCGGTTGAGGAAGTGCCATAAAACATGCACGTGGGTGCATGGCATCCAGTTCATCCTCCAACACCCGTAATCACAATCACGCCTTGATAAGTCTACCATAACCAAAGTTGCATTTTCTATAGCTAGCTACTAGCTACTTTCCTGCTGAGTAAGCTCCACTATAATGATCGTGCGGGATTACAACAGTGTCACACCTTTGTCGCCATCGATCCGTAATTTTCTTCCGGATTTTTACAAAGAGTTGAACTGGTTTATCAAAAGTTACTCTCACAAGTGTTGTAATTGGAAGCGTGGTTCTACATCATTTTAGGACATGGTTAAAACTTTTAGATAGATTTGTCATTAAAATTCTAGATTGGCCAAATTTGTAATTGAGCAGTTAGATGAGGAATGAAGTGTGAATGCTGGTGGATTTTATAGAGCAGATTCGCCAAATCTGTTCCACTAATGGCGATCTGAGCCAATTCATTGTAACACTTGAGATTTAATTTAAACGAATTAATAGTACTACTCATACCAACAAGGTGCATCTCCTTTTATGGGAGCTCATAACGCAAGAACTCCAAAGTTAAGTGTGCTTGCACAGGAGTAGTTGTGGGATGGGTGACCCTCTGAGAAGTTTCTTAGGGCGCACATGAGTGAGGACAAAGTGTGCGTTAAAGGCTTGTGGCGGTTTGTGAGAATAGTACTAGAGGTTTGGAGGGTGTGTGGAGTAACTACCTCGCGTCCTGCGGGGCCGGGGTGTTACAAGTGGTATTAGAGCAACCCTGCGACTGTGTGCTAATACGTTGGATATCGGGAGGACACTTAGCGGGGGAAGATTCTGGGACTTGATTGAGATTTGATATTGGATTAAGGGCGCAACGAGGACGTTGCGATCCTAAGTGGGGGTGATTGTAACACTTGAGATTTAATTTAAACGGATTAATAGTACTACTCACACCAACAAGATGCATCTCCTTTTAAGAAAACTCATAAAGCAAGAACCCCAAAGTTAAGCGTGCTTGCACAAGAGTAGTTGTGGGATGGGTGACCCCCAGGAAGTTTCTCATGGCGCGCATGAGTGAGGACAAAGTGCGCGTTAAAGGCTTGTGGCGGTTTATGAGGACAATCTAGAGGTCTGGAGGGTAACTACCTCGGGTCCTACGGTGTAACACCGTCCCCAAATGTATTTACTTTTATGTAAATGATGTAATAAACCTTATGGAATGATTTATGAATTTACGAAGTTGTAAATTTTTATTTATTCTTTCGCGTGAATAGTAAATTGCACGTGGGACCCACACCGGGAGCGGGGGCCGCCCGATTTTCCCGAGACCATACATTTTATTCATCATGGTCTAGATAATAAATATGTAGTGGTGGATATTTCATTTGGGCCATGGAAAGGCCCGGAGTTGACCGATTGGTCAAAAGAAGCCCAAATTACCAGTACTGATAATTTAACTGATAACAGCCCGAACTGAATTTCGGAGGCTTATAAATTAAAGTTGGGGAATGTATATTCATTATACATGTCATAATGAGTAAGAGCACATAATATATTTTATTTGACCCGATAAAATAAAATATATTTAAAACAGTCCGAAAAATACAACTTTCGGGACCGATTGTACACTTCGGGACACAAAGGGTTGACCTCCCACATGAGTGGGGGCCAACCCACGAATTTGGACACTCAATATGGGGTGTTGGCCGCTGGAATGGGAATAGGAAGGTGGGAGGTGTTGGAGATTGAATGGAAAGGCATCAAAAGTACCTAAGGTGGACCCTCATTTTGCACTCATTGGATTAATGAGACAAAAGTCCATTCTCATCCCTCTCCCCTCTTCATTTTCGGCCAAGCTACAGCAAGAAGAGAAAGAAAACTCTTCTTCTTCCTTCCTCCATTGTTGAAGAGAGCTCATCAAAGAAGAATCACCCAAAAAGGAGCTAAAGTGCTAAAAGTGTGAAATAATTAAGGTAATGACCTTATTATAACTTTTTCTTTATTTTTCTTCTACCATATGAAGTATATAGCATATGAAGAACCTTTAGTATGGTTCCATATGTTATAAGTATGGATTCATGGGTTGGAAGGTGGTTCTACGTCCAAAAACGGACTTAGAAGCCAAAACGACCGGTTCACCGGAAAATAACCTTTTAGAGGTTATTTGTATTAATATGGGTTTTATGATTATAAAACCTTGTTAGGCACTTGTAAAGGGTATTTCAAGTGATTTCACAAAGTTGGAAAAGTCGCCGGAGTTGTCGCCGGAGTTGACCAAAAGTCGCCGGAGTTTCACCGGAGTTCAACCAAGAAGGGTGGAACTTCATAACACTAGTTCAAGGTGAGTGGACGGCTTAATATCTTATAACTTTTGGGTTAATTATGAGATTACCTAAATAAATGTTATATGAGTTCATAATGATGTTTAAAAGATATTTAAACATGTGATTAGCCAATAGGGTTAAGTTTGTATAAAAGAAATAAATGATTTATGCATGGAATATGATATGAGGAATTACATAAAATCCATATTTGTTTGAAAGGTATAAGGAACACCAAATGAACATTATCAATTTAATTACATGATGATTAAGTTGATAAGTGTAAGACTTGAAATGGCGGTCAACGACACCGTTGACCGGTGGATAATGGATTAATTAATATCGGTTGATATTAGTTAGTTATACATTTATAGAATCGCATGGTTTGCATGGATTGTGATACATAAGCTTTATGTATTGAATTAGTTATGAGTAACTAAGTGTGATATAAACTCTATCTAGGTTGATAGAAGGTTGATCATAGGAAAATATTTTGGTGGAGGACCCTAGTACTCAAAAGTACTTAACACTCAAAATTTGGTGGAGGACCCTAGGACTTAAAGTCCTTAACACTCGGATTATAAATTGGTGGAGGACCCTAGGACTTAAAGTCCTTAACACTCAGATTATAAATTGGTGGAGGACCCTAGTACTTAAAAGTACTTAACACTCAAACTTGGTGGAGGACCCTAGGACTTAAAAGTCCTTAACACTCAAACTTGGTGGAGGACCCTAGTACTTAAGAGTACTTAACACTCAAACTTGGTGGAGGACCCTAGTACTTAAAAGTACTTAACACTCAAAACTTGGTGGAGGACCCTAGGACTTATGAGTCCTTAACACTCGCAAACCGGTGGAGTACCCAAGGATTATGATCCTCAAAACTCATAGATTATGATATTGAAATAGGGACAAGGAGGAGTCCTATACACTCATTGGTATATGGGTGGGTTGGGGTTTTTAGTCAAGAATATTGACTATTACTATTCTTCCCAAATAAAATGGTGATCTACGGATCGGATATTTTTCCAAGTATATATTTATACTAATAAGTATTTCATAACTTGGGGGAAAGACTATCTATTTAAGTATCACCCTATGTTTGGGTCTTATACTTGAAACGCTAGTTATTCTATATTTAGCCTGCTACTCGCTCGGTACTTGTACTGACCCCTTCGGGGGGCCCCACCATTTTCAGGTTGAAGCTAGGGCTTGCTACTTGCACCTTCTCACGGGTGGTATCAAATCAGGAAGACGTGGTTCGTGCTTCCTTATTTTCTTTCAAACTACCGAACACTTGCTCATGGATATTTGTTCTACTATAAACTATTTTTGGGGCTTGCATGCCCATGTTGTTGGCCGGTTGTGGCCTATGACTTACCGTTGAATATTTTCCGCTATTCATTGGTTTAAATGTGATGTTGTTATGTATGTTTACTACTGAGTATGGATGGATTGTTTTCTCGAACGCCTTGTGTAATTGAGTGAGGTTGACTCGTGGGTGACGTCACTTAGTTATACGGCGGTTGTACACGCGCTTGGATTGCGGTCTGGGGCGTGACAATTAAGTGGTATCAGAGCCATCTCAGTTCTAAACTATATAATCAACCTCTCACAAAAGATTTTACAAAAGAGTTTTTGCCGAAAACCATGAGCATTGTATTTTGACGTTTATAGGACTATTGGTGCTTAAGTTGCAAGGCCTCTAATTGTTAAGACGGTACCCTTAACAATTGGTATGGTAGTGACTTGGGCCAATACGTGTCTGTAACGTTTTTCCGTCAATTGACATTTATAGGAGTCTAATGACTCATCCATATTTCTTTCAGAAATGGAGGGCAGGCGAATGCGAACCAGGAACAATCCGAGGGGGCAGACGCCGGTAGCATCCCAAAGGGGGAGCCGGGCTGCATCTCGGGGTTCAAGAGGAGGCCGTGGAGGCCGTGGAAGCCGTGGAGGTCACCAAGCTCAAACTGTGAGTGAGGGCCATGTAAGCTCGGTGTATGAAACCAACACCGAAGACTACGACTCTACATATGTTCCGGAAACGGAGCACGAGGAGACCCCATATGATGGGGGTGACACATACACCGATGATGATGATGAAGAGAGTGATGCCAAGTTCGCCCAAATGGGCGAATTGCTTGAGTGGTATCAAAAAGAAAAGCTGAGGAGAGACCTTAGGCGCCAAGCAAGGCGTGGCTCTCGCGGTGGTTCGGGTCAAGGAAGCCGGGGAGCTTCAAGAGCCACTCCCGTGGCGCCACACGATGGGCGTGAAGGAGGTTTTTGTGTGAGAATCTCCAAGTACCTCAAGGAGGCTAGGGCCTTGGGGTGTAAGTCCTTTGACGGCACCGGTGACATTACCGTTGCCGCCGATTGGATAAAGAAGGTGAAGGATGCGGCAAAGGACATGCAAATTTCACCGGACGTGAAGTTGACTGTTGCTTCACGGCTGCTTGAGGGGATAGCTTCCACGTGGTGGGAGAGTGTGGAAGGAAAATACCGTGGGGAGGTCTCATGGTTGAACTTTGAGCAGGAGTTTTATGACCAATACTACACTGACTATGAGAAAAATGTCAAGCGTAGGGAGTACACCAACCTCAAACAGAAGGAGGGTGTGTCTGTTAAACAACTGGAGCAAGATTTTAGAACCTTGGCTAGGTTCTTACCGGAGTACGCGATCAATGAGGACCGCATGTCGGAGCACTTTTGGGATGCCTTACTCTTGGACATCCGTGATCGGGCTACGTACTCACGCCACATGACCTTTAGCGAGGTGGTGGAGCAGGGCCTTCTTGGGGAGGCTCAATGGAATGAGAGAAAAGAAAGAGACGCCGAGGAGGCGAAAAAGAGAAAATGGCATAATTCGGGGCCGCCCGAGCAAGCACGGAAGAATCACCACGGTGGGGGTGGGGGTACGTTCAAGGCGCCGGCACCACCGGCGAAGAAGAACAAGGATGCTCGGTGGCACGCATCCTCCTCTCAAAATACGGGGCCTCCTAAGTGTGCCAACTGTTCAAAGAACCACTTCGGGAAGTGCAACGCACCCCCGAGGTGTTATCGGTGTGGGAACACGGGCCACATGAAGGCCAATTGCCCACAATTGGGGGGAGGAGGAGCTCCGGGATCCGGAGGAGGAACCATGACGGGAAGAAACCGTGCGGGCCCGTCAAACGGCGGTACGGGAAGAGGCAACGCATCCACAAGTCATGCCGCGTCCGTAAACCAAGGCGGGACCCAAGCACGAGTCTACGTGATGACCGAGGCGGATGCGAGAGCAAACCCGGACTCCGTTGCAGGTAATACGCGTATTCCCATGTATTTCTAGGCTTACTTTGATCATATACGTCGTTGGGATTGAGTGTGGGCCACCCCGGGGTCGAACCGGGTGAGTTAGGCCGAATCTGGCTGGAAACAGCCACTGCCGGCCAGGCACGCCCTCAGGCACGCCGTGCCTGGAATCGTGCCTGGAAGGCAGTGGCACCCGAAGAGAAAAAAAAAAAATTTGGGCCAGGCACGGCCGCAGGCACGCCGTGCCTGGCGTCGTGCCTGGGAGGCAGTGGTGTCCGAAGAAGTTTTGGCCAGGCACGGCCGCAGGCACGCCGTGCCTGGCATCGTGCCTGGCCGGCAGTGGACAGCAGGGTGAGTTTGTTGCACGCACGGCCGTGCCTGCCACCCAGGCACGCCGTGCGTGGACCCCCAACACCCGAAAGTTGATTTTTTCGCCCCGTTCTTCTACGTTTGGACCCCCGTTTGATTCCAAACATTTGTATGAACCTAATAACATCCTAATGATGTGTAAAAACATTAGAAAATGTATCTTACATGGTGTATAAATGTAGGAACATTAAAGATCAATGGTAGGTGTGCGAGGATCCTCATCGATACCCGGGGCACAACGCTCATTTGTGAGTGAGGCGTTCGCCGAGGGCCTTGACGTGCCATTGACACCTATGACTCAAACGTTGCTAGTCTCCACACCGTTAGGAGACGACGTGGAGAGAAATCATTACTATCCGTCGTGTGAGGTAGAAGTGACGGGTCAACCTTTGACTTGTGATTTCGTACCTCTAAGCATGTTGGAGTTCGATGCAATCCTAGGAATGGATTGGCTCGAGAAACACCATGCCCGAGTAGATTGCTACACCAAGGTGTTGGAGCTCGAGGATGATCAAGGGAACACGCTATGCTTTGAGGGAGATCGGGGGAAATCTAGTGCTTGTATCATATCCGTGATGAGAGCACGGAAGATGATGAGGAAGGGATGCCACGCGTACCTTGCCTACGTGGTGGACGATACCAAGAAGGAAGTCGACATCAAAGATGTACGGATCGTGTGCAAGTACTCGGATGTCTTTCCCAAAGACCTACCGGGGCTTCCACCCGACAGAGAGATAGAGTTTGTAATTGAAGTGGAGCCGGGAACCAAACCCATTTCGGTTCCTCCTTATCGAATGGCACCGGCCGAACTCCAAGAGTTGAAGGTCCAACTACAAGAATTACTGGACAACGGGTTCATCAGACCCAGTCATTCACCGTGGGGGGCACCCGTACTCTTCGTGAAGAAGAAGGATGGTACACTAAGAATGTGTATTGACTACCGACAATTGAACAAGGTCACAATCAAGAACAGGTATCCCTTACCGAGGATTGATGACTTGTTTGACCAACTTCGGGGGGCAATAGTGTTCTCGAAGATTGATTTGAGGTCGGGGTATCATCAGTTGAAGATCAAGGAGAGCGACATACCTAAGAGTGCATTCCGCACTAGGTATGGTCATTACGAGTTCCTTGTAATGTCATTTGGTTTAACCAACGCACCGGCGGCATTCATGGACTTGATGAACCGGGTGTTTAGTGAATACTTAGATCAATTTGTGATAGTATTCATTGATGATATCTTGATATACTCCAAGAGTGAGGAGGAGCACGAGCATCATTTGGGGCTTATACTTGATCGGCTAAGGGAAAAGCAACTCTTTGCCAAGTTCTCTAAATGCGAATTTTGGCTCAAGGAGATTGGTTTTCTCGGTCACGTCATATCCGGTTCGGGCGTAGCTGTGGATAACGCAAAGATAAAAGCTATCATGGATTGGGAGAGACCCAAGAATGTGAAAGAGATACGTAGTTTCCTTGGCTTAGCGGGATACTATCGTAAATTTGTTGAAAAATTCTCCGTATTGGCGTCTCCATTAACGAAGCTCACAAAGAAAGGGACCAAGTTCATATGGGACGACAAGTGTGAGAAAGGGTTCCTTGAACTGAAGAAACGACTTACCGAAGCACCAGTCCTTGCCCTACCCATACAGGGGATAGGGTATGACATTTACAGCGATGCTAGCATCCAAGGGCTTGGATGTGTACTAATGCAAAACGGTAAGGTGATTGCCTATGCTTCTAGGCAATTGAGAAAACACGAGGTGAACTACCCTACTCACGACCTAGAGTTGGGGGCGGTAGTGTTTGCATTGAAGATTTGGAGGCATTATCTCTACGGGGAAACGTGTCACATTTATACCGATCATAAGAGCTTGAAGTATGTATTCACTCAAAAAGAGTTGAATATGAGACAAAGGAGATGGATGGAGTTGATCAAGGACTATGACTTGATCATCGACTATCATCCCGGAAAGGCCAACGTAGTGGCCGACGCACTGAGCAGGAAGAGTACGTCAGGGACGTTACTTACTTGTCTGCAGGCATTGAGGGCACGCGTGGAGGTGTCCACGTGCGGGGCTCTCATTGCTCAATTTGAGGTTAGGCCCACCCTATTGGGCGAGATTAGTCGAAGTCAGGCCATGGATGAGGAATGTCAGAAGATCCGTGAAAGGATCCTTGCGGGGCCCGTTGAGAACTTCCGGGTACGTGATGACGGTCTGTTATTGTTTAAGGATCGTGTGTGCATACCAAGGAATGAGGAACTCCAGAAATCTATACTTGAGGAGGCTCATTCTTCAGCTTATGCTATGCATCCAGGAGGTACTAAGATGTACCGAGATTTGAAGGAAAGTTACTGGTGGTCAGGTATGAAGAGAGACATTGCTGAGTATGTGAGTCGGTGCCTTACTTGCCAGCAAGTTAAGGCAGAGCATCAGCACCCGGCAGGGCTTTTGCAGCCACTCACCATCCCAGAGTGGAAGTGGGAGCACGTGACCATGGACTTCGTGGTGGGGCTACCACGAACAGTGAACAACTATGATGCAGTTTGGGTAGTGGTTGATAGGCTCACCAAGAGTGCACACTTTTTGCCTATCAACATTACTTATCCTCTTGAAAGATTGGCCAAGCTTTACACGGAGGAGATTGTGAGATTACATGGAGTCCCGATATCCATTGTCTCGGATAGGGATCCACGATTCACATCCCGATTTTGGCCAAAGTTTCAAGCATCGCTGGGTACTAAACTGAAGTTTAGCACAGCTTTTCACCCACAGACGGATGGACAGTCCGAGCGGGTGATACAGATTTTGGAAGACATGCTTAGGGCATGTGCTTTGGAGTTCCAAGGAAGTTGGGACAAGCATTTGGCCCTAGTGGAGTTTGCTTATAACAACAGTTATCAAGCAAGTATCGGCATGCCTCCATATGAGGCATTGTATGGGAGGAAATGTAGAACACCGTTGTGTTGGGACGAGGTTGGCGAGGCCAAACTCGAAGGGATAGAGCTGGTTGAGATTACCAAGGCCAAGGTAAGGATCATTCGGGATAGATTGAAGGCTGCTCAGGACCGACAGAAGAGTTATGCTGATAAACGGCGGAGACCGTTGGAGTTCGAAGTCGGTGATGAGGTCTTCCTAAGGATTTCTCCTTGGAAGGGCATCATTCGATTTGTATCGAGGGGAAAGCTTAACCCCCGATACATTGGTCCATTTGAGATCCTTGAAAGGATTGGAGCCGTGGCTTATCGTCTCAAGTTAACGCCGGAACTTGAGAAGATACATGATGTGTTTCATGTATCAATGCTCAAGAAGTACATACGGGATCCCTCTCATATTCTTGAGAAACCGCCAGTAGAGATCCGTGAGGATTTGCAATATGCGGTAGAGCCGGTGAAGATAGTGGGTCAACAAGTGAAGAAACTTAGGAATAAGGAGATTCCTATGGTAAAGGTTCTTTGGAGGAGTGATCGAGTCGAAGAAGAAACATGGGAGACCGAGGTCTCAATGAGGGAGCAATACCCGTTTCTTTTCGATTAGACACACGGATTTCGGGGACGAAATCCCAAATAAGGGGGGGTGAACTTGTAACACCGTCCCCAAATGTATTTACTTTTATGTAAATGATGTAATAAACCTTATGGAATGATTTATGAATTTACGAAGTTGTAAATTTTTATTTATTCTTTCGCGTGAATAGTAAATTGCACGTGGGACCCACACCGGGAGCGGGGGCCGCCCGATTTTCCCGAGACCATACATTTTATTCATCATGGTCTAGATAATAAATATGTAGTGGTGGATATTTCATTTGGGCCATGGAAAGGCCCGGAGTTGACCGATTGGTCAAAAGAAGCCCAAATTACCAGTACTGATAATTTAACTGATAACAGCCCGAACTGAATTTCGGAGGCTTATAAATTAAAGTTGGGGAATGTATATTCATTATACATGTCATAATGAGTAAGAGCACATAATATATTTTATTTGACCCGATAAAATAAAATATATTTAAAACAGTCCGAAAAATACAACTTTCGGGACCGATTGTACACTTCGGGACACAAAGGGTTGACCTCCCACATGAGTGGGGGCCAACCCACGAATTTGGACACTCAATATGGGGTGTTGGCCGCTGGAATGGGAATAGGAAGGTGGGAGGTGTTGGAGATTGAATGGAAAGGCATCAAAAGTACCTAAGGTGGACCCTCATTTTGCACTCATTGGATTAATGAGACAAAAGTCCATTCTCATCCCTCTCCCCTCTTCATTTTCGGCCAAGCTACAGCAAGAAGAGAAAGAAAACTCTTCTTCTTCCTTCCTCCATTGTTGAAGAGAGCTCATCAAAGAAGAATCACCCAAAAAGGAGCTAAAGTGCTAAAAGTGTGAAATAATTAAGGTAATGACCTTATTATAACTTTTTCTTTATTTTTCTTCTACCATATGAAGTATATAGCATATGAAGAACCTTTAGTATGGTTCCATATGTTATAAGTATGGATTCATGGGTTGGAAGGTGGTTCTACGTCCAAAAACGGACTTAGAAGCCAAAACGACCGGTTCACCGGAAAATAACCTTTTAGAGGTTATTTGTATTAATATGGGTTTTATGATTATAAAACCTTGTTAGGCACTTGTAAAGGGTATTTCAAGTGATTTCACAAAGTTGGAAAAGTCGCCGGAGTTGTCGCCGGAGTTGACCAAAAGTCGCCGGAGTTTCACCGGAGTTCAACCAAGAAGGGTGGAACTTCATAACACTAGTTCAAGGTGAGTGGACGGCTTAATATCTTATAACTTTTGGGTTAATTATGAGATTACCTAAATAAATGTTATATGAGTTCATAATGATGTTTAAAAGATATTTAAACATGTGATTAGCCAATAGGGTTAAGTTTGTATAAAAGAAATAAATGATTTATGCATGGAATATGATATGAGGAATTACATAAAATCCATATTTGTTTGAAAGGTATAAGGAACACCAAATGAACATTATCAATTTAATTACATGATGATTAAGTTGATAAGTGTAAGACTTGAAATGGCGGTCAACGACACCGTTGACCGGTGGATAATGGATTAATTAATATCGGTTGATATTAGTTAGTTATACATTTATAGAATCGCATGGTTTGCATGGATTGTGATACATAAGCTTTATGTATTGAATTAGTTATGAGTAACTAAGTGTGATATAAACTCTATCTAGGTTGATAGAAGGTTGATCATAGGAAAATATTTTGGTGGAGGACCCTAGTACTCAAAAGTACTTAACACTCAAAATTTGGTGGAGGACCCTAGGACTTAAAGTCCTTAACACTCGGATTATAAATTGGTGGAGGACCCTAGGACTTAAAGTCCTTAACACTCAGATTATAAATTGGTGGAGGACCCTAGTACTTAAAAGTACTTAACACTCAAACTTGGTGGAGGACCCTAGGACTTAAAAGTCCTTAACACTCAAACTTGGTGGAGGACCCTAGTACTTAAGAGTACTTAACACTCAAACTTGGTGGAGGACCCTAGTACTTAAAAGTACTTAACACTCAAAACTTGGTGGAGGACCCTAGGACTTATGAGTCCTTAACACTCGCAAACCGGTGGAGTACCCAAGGATTATGATCCTCAAAACTCATAGATTATGATATTGAAATAGGGACAAGGAGGAGTCCTATACACGTGTTGGGATATTGGGTCCAGGCCCAATATCCCTAGGCCCAAATCCAGGAAGAAACAGCGGGCCCAAGGCAGTCCAAAAGAACTCTCGAACGGCATTCGGGATAAGAGTTATACTTGGAACATTCCAGGAAACAATTATGCCAAATCACCTATGGCAGAGATACCGATCGGCATTCGGGATGTGTCCCTAAGCAGGATAACACCTATGACGGGGTCCCACGCACCGAACACTTTGCCCGAACGGGCAATCATCAAGTGGAGGCCGCATTTAATGCTGGATCATGGCGGCAGCAAGTGGGGGGCATGGGTGCTTACATGGCAGAGGTGATAGCCTACCAGATTCGACCACGTGTCCACCTTACCCATCCCCATTTTAGTATAAATATCCATGTTTAGATCATTGTAAAGGGTTAGCATTTTAATACTCAGAGCTTAGCAATAGATTTACATCTCCTATCCTTGTAATCTCATATCCATCTACCGTTCGGGTAGTCTCAGTGTAATCACATATTTATTGAATATCAGTAAGCTTCTGAGTTGAGCAAATATCTCACTGTTTTATATTTTATACACATTTTAATCCAACCCTTTATACCTACAATATCCGAGGCTTGTGTTGGGCTTTCGGATCTTCGGGAATAAACCTCAACAACACTCATTGGTATATGGGTGGGTTGGGGTTTTTAGTCAAGAATATTGACTATTACTATTCTTCCCAAATAAAATGGTGATCTACGGATCGGATATTTTTCCAAGTATATATTTATACTAATAAGTATTTCATAACTTGGGGGAAAGACTATCTATTTAAGTATCACCCTATGTTTGGGTCTTATACTTGAAACGCTAGTTATTCTATATTTAGCCTGCTACTCGCTCGGTACTTGTACTGACCCCTTCGGGGGGCCCCACCATTTTCAGGTTGAAGCTAGGGCTTGCTACTTGCACCTTCTCACGGGTGGTATCAAATCAGGAAGACGTGGTTCGTGCTTCCTTATTTTCTTTCAAACTACCGAACACTTGCTCATGGATATTTGTTCTACTATAAACTATTTTTGGGGCTTGCATGCCCATGTTGTTGGCCGGTTGTGGCCTATGACTTACCGTTGAATATTTTCCGCTATTCATTGGTTTAAATGTGATGTTGTTATGTATGTTTACTACTGAGTATGGATGGATTGTTTTCTCGAACGCCTTGTGTAATTGAGTGAGGTTGACTCGTGGGTGACGTCACTTAGTTATACGGCGGTTGTACACGCGCTTGGATTGCGGTCTGGGGCGTGACATACGGGGCCGGGGTGTTATTACACTCGTTCTGACTAGATAGCTATCTAGAAGGAGGTAAATTGAGCTTTTATCACATACTGATGGAAAGAAAGTGAGATTTTCATACCAAGTCTTTGCTTGAATTTGAATCTGGGACCCCTCCCTTGTAGCACTCTCTTCCTACCAGATGAGCTGCGCCACGGTACGGAACATGTCACAATCTTTCACTTGATGGTATGGAAATACTACCACATAAACTTCCTTATTCTGGCGAAAATTTCGATTACATCATCGTATTTGAAAGACACTCAATTAAATTCTCAAATCGATTGAGCATTTTAGATGATAGGAAACGAGTTTCCCAATAAACAATTTGTGTGGCTTCTCGTATGATATTTCTTTTTTTCTTTTTCCCTTTCTTTTGTTTTCTTTTTTGTTTTTACCTTTCTATATGCTAGCGAGGCAATGAATAGCGCAAATTTTGAACCTCAGTCAACCCACGCAGACAGAGGCGACAACCTATCCTAGTCAGTGGCCAACACGTCAGCTTGGCGGAGACTAAGCCGGTCACCATCTCCGACGAAGCTCCAGTAGGTGTTCTGCAGCAAAATTTTCCTCTAACCGTTGGTCCAAAATAGGACGCTCGTAGGCTTTTTGGAAAGCTACGTAGGAACACTCAAGCAGAAATCAGGAAAGTAGTACAAATATGGAAAGTAGCTATAGAGTTTGATAGCCAGAAATAGCATGTCTGCATTTGAATCACGACTTGCCTTTTATAGGCGATTACAAATGGTAACTGCCGAATAATAATAACTAAATTAAATACATAATTAATAGTGCATTGATTGTTGGTCGTTACGTTTCCTGGCTGGTTGGCGGGTCGGCTTGGCTAACAGGCCGGACGCTTGAGCTTCTTGGGCGGCAGGCTTCCGCTGGGCTGGAAGGCAGACTCCTAGCTAGGCCGTAAGGCAAGCTTCCGGTTGGGCCGGTAGGTAGACCATCTTGGGCTTCCGCTCAATTGGACTTGCGCTCCTTGACGGGCTTGATTGGTTGGGCCGATTGGAGATCCGAATTGTTGGGTCCACTGGCTGGGCCTGTCTGGCCAGATAATGGTCCTGGGCTTGAGCTTGGACTTAATGGTCCAAGTTCGGGCCTGTGCCGATTAAGCATTGGGCATAGTCCCATAATCCCATCACTAACCAAGCCACGCTTTTCTCCTGACCAACTCTGGTGTAGTTCTAAAACGCATGCCCTTCTTGTCTCCTTGGAAACCCCAATCTCAAAAGCAAAGACGAAGATCACGGTGCTGCCCGCGGCTGTAGATCCTCTCTACAACCAATTCAAACCTGACTCTCAGCCAAAGTGTGACAGGTGCTGCAAATTGAATGTAGGTTATGCTAGGTGTGTGACTTGTGAGCTAAACTAATTTCAAACTCAATTAATTACATCTCAAACAATTGCTTCCAATAATCAGAAATTTTCTCAATTTCAATATTTAACAACAAATATTGACCTCAACTTATCCAAATAAAATTTTAGGCTAGTATATTATCAAGAAACGGACACAATTAATTAAAATGCTAAAATAATTCATGGACGCTATTAAAATATAACTTCAAGTTTAATTAAACTAAACGACAATACGAAATAATTCATGGACATGATTCAGAAACCATGTTTGTATACAGACATTAGTTGTCTGTGTACATACCAAAACGATTTGTTTGCATATTTTTTGTTTGTGCGCATGCATGTTGATAGACACTTACACTTTTTTAATTTAATTTTTTCAAAACAGACAAATTTTGTCAAAACATGTCCGTACTTACACATTTTATATCTGTGTACACAAACATTAGTTCTTGTGTAACCTAAATCAAACTTCTGTGCAGCATTGTGTTTGTGTACACAAACACTTAAAGCAAACCAGTACCATTTTTTGTTTATGACAATATTTACAAAATGTTACTTGCGTTTTCAATTTTTTTTCCAAATAGAAAAATTATATAATCATTCAACATTATTTTATATAGCACACAGACAAGAATTTCGATGGTCATTCATTTTTAAATTTCAGGCGACTTTTCAGTGACTCTTAAGTACCACTTTTTATGCATGGACTAAAATAAAATTGAAAATGATGTGATGAAAGATGATGGTGAAAATGGAAGATGAATAGTAGGTATAACAAAAAAAATGAGATGGAAAGATGAAACAAGAAAGAAGAAAAGGAAACAAGAAAGATACAAGCAAAAAGAAAAATGAGGCATGTGATTCGTATGATAGAGAGAATTGTTGTTATATCGTGGGAGCAACCCAGGGTGAGCATTGTGCTCCCACATACAAAACATGCGTGAACAGTAACACACATGTATAATAATTTTTTTCCTTGTTAGAGTAGCAGAGTGATGCAATTTCGTGTACAGAATTGTAATTCACGTTGATAATAAATGTAATTGCAGGTAAGTCGAAATGTAACTTGCCTAATACAGAGTTTAAGAAATAAAACATTGGTTTCAATGTAAACAATGAAAACAATGAGTCTAATTGCTCAATTATTTTACATAAATAGTGAATATGTTTTGTTTTTTATATTAAGGCCATAAATTTTTTATTAAAAAACTTTTTTTGCCAAATTTTTTGCCAAAAAAAACATTTTTTTTGCAATTTTTTTGTTTAGCAGGGGTTTTAGAAAATGTAAGTTGCATTGATGAAAAATGTATGTCGCATTGATGGAAAAACTAACTTAACTGTATGCAAAATGTAATTTGTTGAGACAAATTCAAATGTAATAATATGTAACTAGTAACAACATATATTATCAAATGTAAACAATGAGTCTAATTGTTCAATTAATTTACTTAAATAATCAATATGTTTTGTTTTTAATATAATCGCATAAAAATATTTTAAAAAAACATTTTTTATTTTGCAAAAAAAATGTTTTTTTTTTGTTTCAATAGCATGAATTTATTTTGTGATGTAACTCGTATTATGGAAAATGTAAGTCACGTTAATGTAAAATCTAACATAGGCGTATGCAAAATGTGAGTAGTGATGGCAACGGGGCGGATCGGGGACGGGTACACATAAAACCGAAACCGTCCCGTTGGATAAATGTTTGCCCCAAAACCGCCCCATTACCCGTTTGGGTAATTTTTATTTGAACCGTACCCGCCCCAATGGGGAATCGGTTTATCCACGGGTAACCGTTTCCCCAAATGATGCCAAATAACCATTTTTCGGAAAATAAATAACCAATTTCTAATCCTACTTGTTATTTATATATTCAAATCACCCTAAAACATACGAGTACAAAAGCAAATATTTAAGCAATCAAGCAGAATGACCTAAATCCATTAGTACGACATGCACCTAATATCTCTTGTAACATAATAAAAAGGCAGTAACTAGTAATCATCCCAGAATCCAAATTCCAAAAACAGGTTTAGGCCTATATTTAGTTTTAGGCTTAAAAAGTAGTATACTTTTTAGCATTATTTATATGATATATACTATTTAGTATACACAATTTAGCATATATACTTATTATTCTTATATATAAAAAGTTATAATTCATTACTAATGTTACGGATCGAGTAACGGTGCGGGTACCCGCACCATTAGTGAACGGGGCGGTTTCGGGGCGGATTAGTATAGAACCATAACCGCACCATTAACCATTTAAAAAATTCGGGTATTCCCCGCCCCATACCCATTCCCCAGTCAAACCGGTTTTCCCCAGTTTGACCAAACCGGTTCGGTGCGGGTATCCAACGGGTCGGTCGAAATTGTCATCTCTAAATGTGAGTCACGCACGAGAAGATCTAAAAGTAACTCGCATATAAGATGTAAGTCACGCATAAAAAGATGTAATTTGCGCACGAGAAGACGTAATTACATATAAGAGTTTTTTACCCTAAATAGGACTAAATGATGATCAAAATTCCCAAATAGGAGTTAATGTTTTAATTTTCGTTAATAGGACTACTTATGACCAATTTACCCCTGCTTTATTAAAACCCCCAATCCCGACTCCCGATTCGGCATCTTCTATACCGATCGCAAGCGAGCTCCTCTCCCATGGAGTACCGATTCTGCATCTCTTCCGCGCAACCTACCCCGGCTAGCTAGCGTGTGTACAGGTAATCGACTCATCTTTCTTCTCCTCCTCCTCCCCCTCCTCCTCCTCCTTTCCCTTCTTTCTCTTCGTCTCCTCCTTGTTCCTCCTCTTCTATGATCTGTTCCTCTTTCATTTATTTTTAATTTCTGTTAATTTATTCAAATATGATTTCTATTTTGTATTCTTTATCTGAATTTTTGAATTCAAAATCTTTGGGAATGAAAATTCAAGGTTCCTGTTAAGAAATTTTCAGATCTAAATGTTATTATGGAGTTGTAAATAGAATGCCATATTTATGGCAATTTTTTATGGAGATGAAAATATTACATATTTGAGAATGCCAAAATTTTGACATTTTCACAAATTGTGGCATTTTATGACATTGAATTGAATTTATTGGCAAGATACTTCATCTTCTTCTCCTATTCCGCATTTTCCACTCTAAAATGTGAAAATGACATAATTCATAATCTGAAATTCCATGTTTTTTGCATACAAAAATGCCATTTTTTGTCATTATTGCTATCATAATTGCAGTTTTGCAGAAATTGATACAATACAGAAGAGATGGCTGATTAAGAAGAGAGGTGGCTGATTAAGAAGATGTCAACATCGATCTACAGAATCTAATAGTGGCACCACTCTCACTTCCGGACGGGTAAGTGCAGTGGAGGTGTGCAGCGGCGATCTCGGTGGCAGCGGCAGCGGCGGCGCTCTCACTTGGCGGCGGCGGCGCTCTCACTTGACAGTGGCGGCGATTTCAACGGGAGCGATCGTGCACCCAGGGGCTGAAAGTTTCGCCGTTTGGAGTTTAGGCTAAAGGCGATGAAGCAACTGGGAGAAGATTTTGTTTTTTTTGTTTTTGACTCTTTGACTTCATTAAGGGAAATTATGTCTAAGCAGTTCATTTTTGGTCCAATAAAATATGAGAGTCCTATTTGTACACTTCAACATGGATTTAGTCCTATTTAAAGAATTACCTCTACATATAATTTAATGTAACTCTAGAAATTGTCTATAAACGTAACTCACGCATGTGCGAAAGTAAACCACACATATGAAGATGTAATCACATATTTTATCATTTGTAAATCAAAATAAGAAAATTAATGTGTTAAACACACTAAAAACACGTAAAAGAGATAAATAAATAAAATATGTCATACGAAAATGTGTATGAACATGAAAAAAAATATTACAAAAAATGTATAATACAAAAAAAATTACGGAAATAAAAATAGTATATGGATGTGAAATGTAATATACTTATTTTTTTAGATTAATATTACAAAAAAGTGTATAGTATAAAAACATATTACAAAAAATATTACTCCGTATAATGCAAAAAAAATTAGTGATAAAATGGTAATAGATTGAGTTGTAATTTAAGTTGTAGATAAATAAAAGTATAATTATAATTACATTTTTAATATTTTATGGAGAATAAAAAAGTTGTAGGAAAAGAAAATAAAGAAAAAAAGAAAGGAGAGAATAAAATACTTCAATAAAATATGTAGGTGTAGGGAAACAAAATAAAAAATAGTGAAATAGTATAACATGCGGACGGAAGGTAAAAATATGGGATATTTTACCAAAGCTTATACTGAATTTTTTTTAAAAAGATATATGTGAATTTGAGATAGAAAAAATGAGTAAGGCATTTTCAAATTTCAAATACTCCATAACAATTTATAGATTACTTCCCCAACCACCACACAATAAAGTATGTTGGGTGAATTTCTTCCTCTTAAACAAACGACCTAATCTCCTTTTGGTTTTTGGTGGTGATATCATGTATCGATTCATGTTAGTCGACCCCAATATCTTTTGAGACTAAGGTTTGGATGTTGTTGAAACAAACGACCTAATCTTCGGGAAAAGGATCAGATAGACCCTCGAACTTATATAAAAAGGTCAAATAAGCCCTAATAAAGGAGGCTCTGTCCGGCCGTCGTCATTTGTGGCGGTTTTCGTTGGAATTTTTTGATGAAATTTTTTGAGCATCTTATTCATTAAGTCTAGTTTATTCATACCAAATTGTAGCTAACAATTCAATCGGGAAGGCATTCAAATGAATTCTTGAAGATAACTACGCTTTTAATTGCGCAGTTATCTTCAAGAATTCATTTGAATGTTTTCCTGATTGACGTTTTAGCTAAAATTTGGTATAAGTAAACTAGACTTAACGAATAAGATGCTCAAAAAATTTTATCCAAAATTACCTCGGGAACTGCCCCAAAAGAGTAAACTAGCATATTTGACCCTTTGTAAGTTCGAGGGCTATCCTTTTCTCCCTAATCTTCTAAAACAATGACACGGGGTATCCTTCTCTGCAAACACTGAAATCTCTTGCTTCTGATACTTCAGAGTAGCAGGCCAATATTCAAATGGCATCTCAAGATCACCACCACCATGACCATGACCATCATCATCACCACAGCCATGAGTACTGCTCTCCCCCCTTTCACTTAATTCCACTCTTCCCTTCTTTTTTTGTTTATTTTGAGTTAGTTGCTGCACTTGCACAGAGATTCAAGAGCAACAACATGGGTTGGCCCAGATGGGAAGGTATACCACAGCCATGATGGACTTGCACCGCATTCACATGAACCCATATACTCACCTGGATACTTCAGCAGAAGAGCACCTCCTCTAACCAACAGGAATTTCAATGAGAGAGCCTTTACTGTAGGGATTGGCGGCCCTGTTGGAACTGGGTACTTTATTTTCCATTTATCCTCAATTTCAGAGTTTTAGTTTTCAGTTGTGGAAACACGCTTTAGAAAAGGGTCCTAGTATTAAATATCTATATCTTTAGTTTTTCGTTATTTATGTCAAATTGAGCATAATGTGCTTAATTATCCACTGTAGCAGCTGCGTTTATATCTATATGAATTTCCCGTAAAGTTCAGTCCTTTATATGAATGACATGATGTAGCTAAAGTCTTTTTTAGGGTCGTATTAAAGAACTCTGGATTTGAGCGTCTCTATCCAAAAATTTCAACTACATATGAGGAAAAAAATTCTCTTTCTTAAACATCCAGTTTGGAAACTTAGAGGCTTCGTTTAATTTGGATGTGTTAAACCCTTCATTTCACTTTCTGTACTGAACTAAATTTTTATTCACCTTGCAGGAAAACAGCTTTGATGCTTGCATTGTGCAAAGTATTGAGGGAGAAATACAGCCTGGCAGCAGTATGTATTCTACTTACCATTTTAGATTCAGTGCAAGTCTAAAGATTGTATATAACATATACCCCCCAATCTATGATTTAAGTTTTTAAAAATCATTTTTTGGGATGTCCCAAATTTAAGTTCTCACTTCCTTATTTGGTAGTACTTTGGGTAGCAAAAGTCTTTTTTACAGGAATACAAAATGGTGATAATATCAAATGATTTTTTCTACCTTTTTTCTATGAACTTTTTGAACTCAACCTCTTTCTGTCTTTTGGGTAATAATTAGTCTGTTATCTTTTGGTCTCCTAAGTCCCAAACCAAGGACTTTGTATTCCAATATCTTTGTTTGACACTTTGACCTTTTTATGATGCTCGTTTTGGGTTCAATCTACATTCCCTATTAGGTTTCATAACCCTTCACCGCTTGTTGAAGTCTCGATCTTTTTAATCCTTTTTTGGCATTATTCTTTTGCTTAGGAGGGATTGAGGAATTGAGTTGTCACACTAAGTCATCTAAGAGATAATCTTAGTCTTTTTGGAGTTTTTGGACTGATCCTAGTATGAATGGTGTGCAAGATTTAGAAAGATGGGGATTTTCTTGATCAGTACATTTGGCTATTTTATTGTTTGAATTGATTTGAAAAAATTAATTAATTGGCCTTATAAATTTCTTGATAACAACTCTATCTAGTTGGCTAGTTTATAGTCTAGTCTTTATCTATGCTCTGATTTAATCAAGATTATAAAACCAGCTTTTATGGGATTCATAAATCATAACAAACATATTCCTTGCTGTCACCTTTTCCATAAAATGCTTCAATGGTTTATATATAAAAAATCTATGGTTAACCATTGTGGTTGTGATCTATGCTCTGAAGTAAATCCAAGTCAAGTACTCAATTATAAAACTAATTAAACAAAGTCATAGACAAATGAGATGCTTGATTTTAGGTGACTAATGACATATTCACAAAGGAGGACGGGGAGTTCTTAATAAAACATGGAGCACTTCCAGAGGAAAGAATTCGTGCAGTTGAAACAGGTGGCTGCCCACATGCTGCAATTAGAGAAGACATAAGCATTAACCTTGGACCTCTGGAAGAGCTTTCAAACTTGTATAAAACTGATATTCTGCTGTGTGAATCTGGTGGAGGTATAATATTTTGTTTTGTTTTTGTTCTTTTTCTGCAATATATCAATATGTATACCTTTTACATCACATATGAGTGTTAAACTGGTACCTGCATCCACTTCTCTTGTTAAAATAATTATTTACTTTTGTTGACCAATTTAACTAGAAAAATTATGAATCGAAGCAATGAAAAATGTATGACTAAATTAAAAATAATGGATATACTTTTTTTCAACTTCAGACTGCAGCGACTGTGGTGGTATTTCAAAAGTGGCTGGGAACAACCTGTAATACCATGCAATCATATTTTTGGTCAAGAATCTATTGTAGTAATATTATTATACGAAAAACCCCTACAGATTTCGATGAACTTACCATGTTGCAGATACTGATTAGCCGATACTGAAGCATTAATTGTGATGTGATGTGACTACATCTTTCTTGGTTGCAGATAATCTAGCTGCCAACTTTAGCCGAGAGTTGGCTGACTATATCATCTACATAATCGATGTGTCCGCAGGCGATAAAATACCACGGAAAGGTGGTCCAGGAATTACCCAAGCTGACCTCCTTGTAAGTGGCTTCCTGCTTCTATCCATTCATGTGTATCACTCAATGTAGGAATTACCCACCCACTACACATGTAGGTTATAAACAAGACTGATCTGGCAGCAGCTGTTGGAGCAGATCTCTCTGTTATGGAGCGTGATGCACTTCGCATGCGGGATGGTGGTCCTTTTGTGTTTGCTCAGGTGCCTTGAGCGTTTTTTATGGATTGTGTCGCTTCCTTTTTGTTAGTTATATCCTTCATCCTCTCGAAAAGGTTAAAACCTTTACTCTATATGACAGATGCGATTAGTTTTTCAAAACATTTCATATATTTAGTTATTAGTCAGACTCTTTATATAATAGGAGTACAATTCAGTTAATAAGTAATAACATGATTTTATTTTTGAATGCTTGAGGTTGACTTATTGAGTTTCAAGTTTCAACATGTTTTATTTTTTATGTTCACCCCAAATATTCTTTGCTTTTAGTTTTCCTTCCTGTTTCCTTTTCCTATCATATTCTTTCTTCCTAGACCCTCACATTTAGCTAAATCTCATTTTCCAAGTAAACAGTGTAGCAGATGAAGTCCTGCAAAGCTCATAAACTGACTTAAAAACTGCATGTGAATATATGAGGTTTTTCCTTGAATATTACTGAAATACAGAGTATAGCTTATGAACAAAAATATTAATATAGTTACTATGCAGTCACTACATTGTAGAGTAGAATACAGGCATGTCACTAAAGTTACTATGGTAGTCACTAAAATATAAAGTCATATTTTTATCCACTATCTTTATTTTAGTCATATATTTGTCATTATTTCTGAATATATATGAACGGAAGACCATCTTCGAAATGATTAGTAGTGATGGCTCTCTATGTGATATGCAAATATTATTCAACTGCAGGTGAAACACAATGTGGGCGTGGATGAAATAGTGAACCACATCTTACAAGCTTGGGAAGTTGCAACCGGTAATAAGCGGCACTGAATATTTTACTGAGATTTCTGCATGTCTGAACCCTTCTTTATTGCTCAGTAACTAATGATGATTGGTTTCTCAAAATCTCATCCCTTAAAGCTCCTTCCTGAATAAACAAGAATTGTTGCAGAGTTCCTGCAAATCAGAACTTTAAGATTTGTCTTGTTTGACAGATTTTTCTGTGAATTTTCGTGACAGGCCACAGTCATTTATTCATTCGTTGCATTTATTTAGAAGATGACTTCCTAAGGATAACTGCAAGCCTGGGGTGGAAATGCCAATTTTGGGGTTTTCACCTCAATGCCCTGTAATCCAGGAAAAAAATGTATTCAAGGGTGCCAAAGTAGCTTCAAGGCACCCATGGGGGGAATCCGCTACCCTCATTCACCCGACCCCATATTCTGCATGCGTAAATACGGAGAAAAAGCAGCTTCATGGGTAACAGGCTTCTGCAATGCGCCTGACAAACGCAGACCAGTCTGCTTGGACTGCAGTTGGCCCGTGCAGCGTTGTTGCTGGGTGCGCGGGTGGGCATCTGGCGTCCGGCTTTGCTTTTATGTGCAGCTGGGCTGGTTTAAAACAAAAGAAATACTCCCTCCGTCCCAGAATTAACTTCGGTTTTGACTGGGCACGGAGATTAAGAAAGTGGGAAATGTGTGGTGGAGAGTTGTGTAGAGGAGAGAGAAATGTGTAAGAATGGTTGTGAACCACAAATCCTTTGCTAAAAAGGGAAAGAGGAGATAAATTTGGGACGGACCAAAAAGGAAAGAATGAATATAATTATGGGACGGAGGGAGTAGGTAAATCTGACGTCTTGGGTTTATTGGGGCCCCCAAAAAAATTAGGTAGATCCAATGGCTGAAATTTAGATCCAATGGTTAGAATATTTTTTATTTATTTTTTAGTTTTTTTTTTAAATTCGACGGGTGTTTTTATATAAACATCACTTTTACTTTCATTTCAATACTTTTATCAGCATTCTTCCTCTTCTTTTTACTTAATTTTTTTACCACCTTTTTAATAATAGTTAATAACATGACTTCACAAAGAAGGGGTGTTAATTGGAGTTACAAACTTACAATGAAGATGTAGTATTATGCAATTCTTGGGTCATTGTTTTCGAAGATGGTGCAGTCGGAATGAACCAAGTAGGAGATTTATTTTGGTCCCGAGTTCATACGTTGTTTTGCCAAAAGTCTAATGCGACTGTTCGGATTCGGGATTCAAAACTATCAACCATCAATGTACTTTGTGGAAGTGGAGTTTGAGAAAGGCAAATGCAACCCCCTAAAGTGGATCCAATCTAATGGATGCGGTATGTTACTTATAAATATTTTTTAAGTAAATAATTAATAAATACTTTAAACATATACTACGTATATTGTAATATTACTAGTGTATTATATAAATTTATTTAATATATTTTGTGTATATATTATGTTAGTATGTATATATTACATTAATATATTACTACCTCCGTTCCCCTAATATCGGGACGGAAGAGAGTGATGTGATTTTTAAGAAAAGTAGAATTATGTGGTTGATAATGAGTTGATAAAGTGAGAATAAAGAAGGAATTAGAGTCACACAAATATTACCAAATATGGTATGAGACAATAATAGGGGACATCCAAAAATGAAAAATGGGACAATAGGGGGACAAGGGAATATTATTTAGTATACATTATGCTATTTCTAAATCTTTACATACTACTATATTCTATAAATATATATTGTGTATCTATTATAAATATTAAGTAAATATATTACGTAATATACTGCGTACTAAATACTAGTGTGTGTATACTATTAATCTATTATGTATATGTAACATTAATATTACTTATATTTTTTAGTGCATGGTAACGATTTATCAAGTTTATTAATTATTATTTTGTTTGTAGGAGTATTGAGCAAACATAAATTTTGTAAATGACAATCATGGCGAACCCTTTAAGTTTGGTCTTGCTTGGCGTATCCTTCAAGCATGTCCAAAGTGGTATCAACAATATGATGCCAATCTTACTTTTACGCCCATGCCTTCACCCACTTCTGACATATTTGGTGGGGAAGGTAGTGGTTCCTCCCTGTTCAACGGTGCAAGTGGTCCACTACGACAACCTGAGGGGTGTGACAAACCAAAGCGAAAGAAAATAGCCAAGAATCGGAGTTCCAAAACATACCTTGCGATAATTGAGTTCATGGAAAAAATGATGAAGCAAGATGAATTAATGGAGGAGAGAATAGAGGAGATGTATGAGGCAACGGGGTTGAATGTTGAAACGGCAACAAGGCTTAAGAATATAGATATCGTAATGGACCTCACTCCGTACTCACCTAGGAAGCAAAAATGACTAAAAGAACAACAAAATCTCATCTTGGGTTATGATCAAGATACACCGAGTAACGATGTTGCCACATGTGTCGGAGGAAATGTGTACTCCCCTAAATTTGACCCTAGGGTGTGGAGGATTTATAAGTAATGTTGTATTTCAATTTTTCGTTTTCTAATTTCGGAGTTCAAAATAAGTTTTATAAATCATGATTCAAAATGCGTACTCCCCTACACTTGCTTTATCATTTTACATCAATTAAATTAGATATAATACACACTTGCTTGTCAATTTTCAAATATCCTATTTACTTGCTTCATATTTTTGTATAAATAGATGTCTCAGTAGACCTCTACTCACAACCAACTTTTCTCATATTCTACATACACTAAAATATATTATCATGAGTTCTTATATCTCAATATGAGTGAAGCCCTAGACTGCTACGTGAGTATAATGATGGTGAAGTTGACTCTCATCGTATGATGATGGCTATGATGATGAGATTTGTTGCTTCAAACTCCGGTAATCGTGAGTAAATTGATCGAGACAGAAAAGATGACCATCGTCGTTTGATGACAACTTATGGAATCCAAATTCAAAATCCAACTTAGAATGCTACTATATTTCGTGGTTGTTTTCCCATGCAATCTGATTAGTTTGACCGCATCATGAGCAGGGGCGGATCCATAGAGATACTAGGGGGCAGCCAGTGGCGGATCCAGAAATATGATGTATTGGGGGGCAGAATCAAACTCCTCTATCGATTTGTATATTTTGAAAGTGATCTATTATAGTTTCATTTATGATTGTTTTAAATAAATATGTTTTATAAAAGAAATTCGACAATCACTCTATATTGTTTTAAATAAATATGTTTTTATTTAAGAAATTCGACAATCATTCAAAAATATGTTTTAAATAAATATGTTATATGTAAAGGACGTTAGTTTTCACTGTTTTCGTGGCTCAAGAAGACGGTGGTGATCATCATGGCTCAATGTTCTTAGGTACCAAGAGCCATATATCATGATAATTGACATAAAAAATCTTTCATAAACAATCTATCCCTCAAATGGCATAACTGATCTAATATAACGAATCAACAGAGGAACCATTTGCGAGCATGGATATGTCAATTGTTATTTTTTATTGAGGGGAAATCACTAGAAAAATATGAAGTGGATGGCTTACCCAATAACATAACTGGTTTAATACATTTATCTTCGGTGCAAAGAAAGAATCAACTCACACCTCATTATCAGTGGCGGATCCAGAAATATGATGTATTGGGGGCGGAATCAAACTCCTCTATCGATTTGCATATTTTGAAAGTGATCTATTATAGTTTCATTTATGATTGTTTTAAATAAATATGTTTTATAAAAGAAATTCGACAATCACTCTATATTGTTTTAAATAAATATGATTTTATAAAAGAAATTCGACAATCATTCAAAAATATGTTTTAAATAAATATGTTATATGTAAAGGACGTTAGTTTTCACTGTTTTCGTACCACAAAAGCATATTTCAAAAGTTGCACAGAAACGGACAAGGCTAAAACAAACTTGAAAAGAGTACATCCCAAAAGACGTGAAAGATTTGTTTTGTGTAAAGAACTAAAGAATACCAAGACTTTTATATTATCAATGTAAACAACATTCTAATCTTGCTAAGTGCTAACTGTATTAATAATATGTACCACATAACTTACAACCCGTTTGGTGACTCCGTGTTTTGGCTTATCAGGCTTATCAGCCAACTTTTTAACCAAATACGTAAATTTTGATTTCACCCGCTGAATTGTGTACTAATAAGAAAATATAAGGTTGAAGTTATTTTTCTAGCTGTATTGCTTAAAGTTACTGTAGATGTCCATTTAAGGTTGGAGAACCTGGGGTAAACTTGGGACAATGTGTCGGCAACCAGAATGTATTTTATTAATATTTTTTCATAAATCAGCAGAATCAGCCAATACAGCCACTTTAACCAAAACTTCATAAATTTCGCAGAATCAGCCAATTCTACCGATTTTAGTGTTAGCAAACGAGCACTTAATATAGATAATTACATTTGTGATTCGTATGTTCTCCTTTTAATTTGTCCAATTTTGTAAGATATGCATTCTATTTTAAAATTGTCTCATAATATATGAACAATTTTTTGAGTTGAACACTTCATTAACTCTTTACATTTCCACTATTCATTTATTTATCACTCCACTCTAACTTTTTATAATTAACACGTCGTATTCTTTCTTACGTTTTGGAAGTTATAATTGTGAAATAGTCGTTGTGTCCAGTGTCCTATAATTTTTTTAAACTCAAATCAAACATATATATATGTGTATCTTAAATTTTGGGATAGAGGTAATAGTTAATTTTAAATTATGAAAAAAGTCTTACTCACATTACTATCTATAGTTAAGTTTAAAGTTTAGATTGTCACTAAACTAATTTTAACCTACTGGCTACTAAATTACGTATTTTTATAAATTCAGATACATTAGTTTGCTTATTTATTACATCTAGTCTAAAGTAAAAAATACATCTCTGAAGTCTTGATGACTAAATACTCCAACTAAAGTAGAGAACAAAATACGAAATGCACTTTCGAACAATGAAGCCGAAGTTTTTTTTTTTATTTTGCCGACGCCTCCGTCTTCTCCTAATAGGGGGCAATCCTTGATTTTAATTGGGGGCAAATGTATAAACTAAACTTTTTTCTTAATAATCTATGGGGCACTATAGACTTTTATTGGGGGCAACCCTTGGATCCGCCCCTGGGGGCAGCTGCACTAAACTTTAAACTTAGGGAAAAATAGTAAAAATACCCCAAACTTTGAAGGGGTGTGAAGTGAACACCCCAAACTTGCATATGTAATTTAAATACCTCAAACTTTATATAAAAAGTTATTTTTGCACCATTGTCATGTATTATTTCTTTTAAAAATGTAAATTTTTGGGGTTAATTGCATTATTTAAAATAGAAAATTAAAAGTGTTGCAATTGCATAGATTGGGGGTGACATTATTTATTTCGCAATTGAAGTTTAGAATGTGATTGTGTATTTATGAATTCTAAAATATTTTAAATTATGCAATTAACATCATAAATTTACATTTTTGAAAAAATTAATACTTGACTACGGTGCTAAAATAACTTTTTATACAAAGTTTGGGGCATTTAAATTACATATGCAAGTTTGGGGTGTGCTCATCTCACATCCCTTCATAGTTTGGGGTATTTTTATTATTTTTCCCTTAAACTTAACTATAGATAGTAATGTGAGTAAGACTTTTTTCATAATTTAAAATTAACTATTACCTCTATCCCAAAATTTAAGATACATATATATATATATATATATATATATATATGTTTGATTTGAGTTTAAAAAAAATATAGGACACTGGACACAACGACTATTTCACAATTATAACTTCCAAAACGTAAGAAAGAATACGATGTGTTAATTATAAAAAGTAAGAGTGGAGTGATAAATAAATGAATAAAGTGGAAATGTAAAGAGTTAATGAAGTGTTCAACTCAAAAAATTGTTCATATATTATGAGACAATTTTAAAATAGAATGCATATCTTACAAAATTGGACAGATTAAAAGGAGAACATACGAATCACAAATGTAATTATCTATATTAAGTGCTCGTTTGCTAACACTAAAATCGGTTGAATTGGCTGATTCTGCGAAATTTATGAAGTTTTGGTTAAAGTGGCTGTATTGGCTGATTCTGCTGATTTATGAAAAAATATTAATAAAATACATTCTGGTTGCCGACACATTGTCCCTTATAAGAGGTCCCGGGTTCAATTCTCAATGGAGTGAGATTGATCCCAAGTTTACCCCAGGTTCTCCAACCTTAAATGGACATCTACAGTAACTTTAAGCAATACAGCTAGAAAAATAACTTCAACCTTATATTTTCTTATTAGTACACAATTCAGCGGGTGAAATCAAAATTTACGTATTTGGTTAAAAAGTTGGCTGATAAGCCTGATAAGCCAAAACACGGAGTCACCAAACGGGTTGTAAGTTATGTGGTACATATTATTAATACAGTTAGCACTTAGCAAGATTAGAATGTTGTTTACATTGATAATATAAAAGTCTTGGTATTCTTTAGTTCTTTACACAAAACAAATCTTTCACGTCTTTTGGGATGTACTCTTTTCAAGTTTGTTTTAGCCTTGTCCGTTTCTGTGCAACTTTTGAAATATGCTTTTGTGGTACGAAAACAGTGAAAACTAACGTCCTTTACATATAACATATTTATTTAAAACATATTTTTGAATGATTGTCGAATTTCTTTTATAAAATCATATTTATTTAAAACAATATAGAGTGATTGTCGAATTTCTTTTATAAAACATATTTATTTAAAACAATCATAAATGAAACTATAATAGATCACTTTCAAAATATGCAAATCGATAGAGGAGTTTGATTCCGCCCCCAATACATCATATTTCTGGATCCGCCACTGATAATGAGGTGTGAGTTGATTCTTTCTTTGCACCGAAGATAAATGTATTAAACCAGTTATGTTATTGGGTAAGCCATCCACTTCATATTTTTCTAGTGATTTCCCCTCAATAAAAAATAACAATTGACATATCCATGCTCGCAAATGGTTCCTCTGTTGATTCGTTATATTAGATCAGTTATGCCATTTGAGGGATAGATTGTTTATGAAAGATTTTTTATGTCAATTATCATGATATATGGCTCTTGGTACCTAAGAACATTGAGCCATGATGATCACCACCGTCTTCTTGAGAAGGTGTCAAACTGGGAATTCCCGGGTGTATAAAGTGGACATAATGGAAAAATGAGATCTTCATCAAGGTGGACAACTTGTTGCGGCCCTGGAATTCCGGTCTCACAAGGCAGACGGCGACAAGAGAAGCAACCAAATATGCTGTTACATTGTGTACTATGGGCCGTTCAGAAGATCTTGTGACTGTCGTCTGGGTCGTTCTTGCTAACACAACATAGGTCTCCTGCAAGCGGCAAGGCTAGCAACTTTTATTTATTTATTTATTTTTAAAAGAAGAGTATCCTGATTATTACGACATTTGCAAAATATAAAAGCTTTCAATGGCTTGAGAATTGTAATAAATGTTGGGATGCAATATGACTTTATAATCCGTAAATGCACTCGCCTAAGAATAAAAACTAAAACAAAGTTATCCTGCAATTTTTTTATGCTACAAAAGCTGAACCCCTTGCTATATAGAGCTCGAGGTACCGGTTCAACCTCTGGAATCCTAAACAACCCAAGTTTATAATTGGCTGGAACACTTGTTAAAGAAAATGAAGGGGCACAACCTTCTCCCCAGGATCCTTAGTAGTTTCGTCACTAATTGTATGCATTGAGAATGGAGAATTGTCCTACGGCATGACCGGAACAATATATTGGGTATAAGCACAAACCAACTATTGTGCTTGAAGTTGTTGCTTCATACAATACTCATATATGGCATGCATTTTTCAGCACGTGAGGTTCCAACAATGACCTTAACACTCCTACAAACTCTCTAGTGTTTGATGCAAATGTGAATGGTTGCAATCCTTAAGGCAATTGTACGGTAAATGATAACTTGTAAAATCTATGTTATTACTTAGTTGACGTGATTTATCCTACATGGGTTACTTTTGTTCCGGTAATTAGTAATCTTGACACCCTAAGAAACGGCTATTTGCTGTTAAGAAGAAGTGTTGACATTTTACAAACGAGATGGGCTATCATACGAAGGCTCGTCCAAATATATCAGACATAGACGGCTCGTCCAAATATATCAGACATAGACTTTAACTGATATTATGCTCACATTCATTATCCTACACAACATAATTGTAGAAGACGAGCATAAATTAAAGAAACTGATGATCGACGATCCAAGTAGTCAAGATTATAGTGTGGACTGTAACTATATTGATCCGTATATTGAATTTGATCTTCATCACGATGCTTCAACTTTGCATGACTACGTGATGCGGCATAATCACATTAGGAGCTCTTCAATGCACATTGCTCTTAAAAACGATCTCGTCAATCATTAGTGAAGGCATCACAAGAACGGCATGTAGTGATTATTTTTCTGTTGTTAGTGTTTTCATGTCCACTTCAACAATGGAATTACTCTTTGCAATTGTCCTCATTCTTGTAATGTAACCCGATTTCCTCAGCCTTTTTTATTATTTGCAATGACGCAATCAATGTTATGTGTGTTTCTGGTAATTTATTATTAGTATTTGAATTCAACAACTTATGTTTTGATATGTTCATAGTAATATTCATTAAGTACATAGTATTAAAACTGCAAAACTAATAATACAGTAAAATGGAAAATCACGTAATATTGTAAAGTAGTACATATTTTTATTGGTAATAAAAAATTAATTAAAATGAAATCAAGTGTGCATTTTTTAATACTTATGAAAAAATAAATTCAAATTTTAACATCGGGATGTTTGAATTTTTAAATCATAATCATTTGTAAAAAAACATATGTCGCATAATTAATGTGTAATTATAAAAATAAGAATTTATGCATTTAATTCAAAAAACTGTGTCAGATGAATATATTGATGGTGCTAAATTGTAGGGGGGATCAAATTGACTGATTGAATATCAAATTTTCATATAAATTTGTGGGGAATTCGATTTATTCACCCTCGAGGGTTGCGGTTATCCTAAATTCATCTTTATCTTTTTATGGGTGCATAATAAAATTTGAATATATTTTATGTAAAATAGGCTCAGAACCGTTGGAAATATGACCAAGTCCATCTAGCCATCTAGGGGTGGACAAAATTTCAAAACCATCCGAGTGTTATCCGAATAAAAAATGGGAACTCGGATCGGACTAGATCGGAACTAAATCAATACCGGATTACCGGTCCTTGTTCAATATTAATTTTTAAATGTGTGTGTATTATGATATACGGAGTATTATACTATTATATACTTCGTATAATATAATATAGTAGAGGAAAATTCTTGTCCGGAATTTCCTGACCGGACCCCTATCTGGCCTCAGCCGTTTGGGGCAGTTCCCGGTGGTATTTTTTGCTCAAATTTTTTGTGTATGTTCCTTATCAAGTCTAGTTCATCCCTACCAAATTTCAGCAAAAAATTCAATCGGGAAGGTCATCAAATGATTCAATCCGGAATATGTATATTCCGGACCAGTTAACTTGCAAAAATCATTTGGCGACCTTCCCGATTGAATTTTTGGCTGAAATTTGGTATGGATGAACTAGACTTAATGAGGAACATACACAAAAAATTTGAGCAAAAAAATACCACCGGGAAGACCCCCAAATGGAGGAGGCCGGACGGCGCTCCAGTCAGGAAATTCCTGACCGGAAGATTACTCTAATATAGTATAACTAATATTGATATAGTCATATAATTATATTATACTACGTATTACTCTTTCTGTCCCATTTTGTAAGATACACTTTTCACTTTCTTACTTTATCTATCTATTCATTTAAATTAATAAACATGTGGTTAATATTATACAGAGTATATATCACGTTTGAACGAACTAGGGATGGACTCGGGCCGGGCCAACCGGCCCGGAACCGGACCGGCCCGCTACTGTGCGGGCCCGGACCGGCCCGGTGAACCGGTTCGGTTCCGGTTCGGGCCTCCCGGCCCGGTGGTATACCGGTCCGGGCCCGGGCCTCCAGTTTAGTGAACCGGCCCGGCCGGGCCGGGCCCGGTTCGGGCCGGAATTTAATTTTTTTTTTTTTTTTTGAATTTTTTTTAAGTTTTGGGTTGGATTAGGTATTTTGGGCCATTTGAGGTGGTTTGGGGTGGAGGGGGAGGGGTAGGGGTTAAATAAGAGAAGAAGAAGAAGAAAAAAAAAAAACATTCCGGGTGGCCCGGCCCGGCCCGGCCCGGTTCTGGCCCGGAACCGGAACCGGAACCGCCCACCACCGGTTCGGGCTCGGGCCTCCTTTTTCTGAACCGAGGCCCGGCCGGGCCCAGGCCCGAACCGGGCCCGAACCGGAACCGGTCCACCCCTAGAACGAACATGAAAACAGTAAACAGAAAATAATGATAGTAAAGTATTTATTGAAAAGCCACAAACAGTTTTAAGACACAAAGTAGTTATTGACAAATATGGGTCTATGTTTAAGTACAAAACCTACTTTAATGTCAACCTGAACCTGGCATAAACAAGAAAAAACTTCCATTGTAGTCGGGCAACTTTTACATTAGAAGAATGAACCAAGTAATCAAGTATAGGGTTGTCTACACAGCAAATACACCTTTAGCTAAATTGAACCGAGCTAAATAATGGGCAAGCCAAACTTTACATGGTACTGATTATCACTCATTGGAGCTGCTAATGCACAATCCCTTAAGTTACCAGTCTTCATAGAAGACAGAAGGCGGCATCAATTGCTTGTAATATAGGAGCAATATCAAACTGAAAGTTTCTAAAGCTTCTGCCAGGACCCGTGTCAAAGGGTTTCTCATCGATAATTGTTGGTTTGCTTGATTGACACTCTGCTACCCTTGAGCTTCCTGCAGAACTACTCTTAGCCCTCCACACGCTACTTCCTATGAAACATGAATAAAATTCTTGAAAATTTAAAAATATTTAAAAATGTGGAGAGTAAAAATAATACCATTCCATTTACAAATAAGAAATCAGTATTATTTTCTAGGTAATTCGCAGATGCCAAATATTTTTTTATTGTTATTAATTCTTGATCGAGGTTATTTTAGTAACTAACACACTTTACCAACTGAAAAGAGATTTAACTATTTTTTAACCCCTACTGTTCATTGATTGACAAAGACAACTTGCAAGAGGGAGAGAAATAACCTTTCAGGTATCTATCAGGTCTAGGTGCTACTGGAGGCTGGTGGGCAGAAATCCACGCTTTTAAAGACCTGTAATAAATTTCTAGATTATTTCCACGAAATCATAGGTAGTCATTAGAAGGAATTTAAAAGGAAATATTTAATAAAGACACGTTGCTACTAACATTAAAAATGGAGCAACCATGTAAAGTTTAAGGCCACTATAAGTACGCGATATGACATCACCATTTCCTGACTGGAGCTCATCAAGTCGCTGCCAGGCAATTTCCTGTATACAGAAGAAGTTTCATTGCTTCAACATAAAAACATGTGTACATGAGTACATCAAGAAACTATATAGTAGGGGGCTACAAGGATCTGCATGGCAGTCCGAATTGCACTAAATGCTTTTTATTGTCAAAATACTTCTTAACTTTGATCATCTACACACTAACCCACCCACCACCCCACCACACCCCCAAACTGCCAAAATCCCTTGAATTCTTGGGAGGATTTAGATAGAGATGCTTTCATCATAACTTACACTAATCTCCTTTTTGGTCAGCGGTGCAAAGACTGTATCATCTTTCACTCCAGCGATTATGTAAAGCCGCACTCTTTGCTGGCCAAAAACCATTTCAATGTACTCTTCCTTTTTAAGAAGTTTTGAGACCTCAAACCCTGTTTCCTCCAAAACCTGCATTCATCCATCCATTATAGAATATAAAAAACGCGGTATATTGTCAAGTTGTCATCACCACCATCGGTGCAAGCTACATTGAGGTCGGTAGCAAGCAATTCCTAATGTGAATTAATTGTCTAAAATGTGATTGAATTTAGGACACTGCAATTTTATGAAAATATGTTCCAAAGAGGCAAATAGGAGGAGTGTAGCAGATGTCATTCTTGTAGAAGATGAAGCTGCAGAGAGTCATTCACTTGTTCTTGAAAAATAGAACCAGATATTTGTCATCATATCAGGTGTGAGTCGCAACAGTGGTGCAAAAAGGGTTTTACGGAGGTTACTGTTTATTTTAAAAAGTCTACTTTACCCTTAAGGCCTTAATACCTCTGAAAACAAAACTTAGCCCAGAAAACTCCTAACTGCAGCGAAGAAAAGCAAATAGTGCACCGCTATAGCGTCCCCTACTCCCGCTTTAGTGCCCACTATAGCAGCCGCTACTCCCACTAGAGTCAAACGCGATGCTACAGGTGGTCTTGTATCGCACTAGCGCCCAACCCTTCCTACGCTCCACTATGCTGATATACAGCGCTATTGACAACACTGATGCACATAAAGCCTCTGAATAACAAAATAGGATTCGAAAAGCGTGATGACATACCTCTCTAACAGCACATGCATAATCTTCTTCATCCTTGTTCTTTTTTCCACGAGGGAAACTCCAGCTTGATCCTTTCCAACCCTTCACTAGCAAGCACTGTACTTCATCCCAAAAAACAACACTATTACAAGGGATGAGGGATATGCTTGTACTATAAACCAAAGTTCTAACGATGACATCTAAGAGAACATAGAAAATTAAATTCATTCTGGCATCTCACTCATTAATAAGATTCATAGAAGTCCAGTGGATTTTGTCCATTTAGATTAGAAGATAAAAGAAAATGTTGTCAGCATCCTAATATCCATACGGTCTTCTTTAAGAAATGTCCAGCAAACACAGCAAAAGTTATACAAAGGCAACATAGGCACACAAGTTAAGATAAAAATTTCATACAACAGCTAGTGTGCATGCTTCTTAAAAAAAATGCATATATAGTTTAATACACTATTTATTCGAGATTATGTTATCAGTGTGGTGGGGAGATGAAAAGAAAGAAGATTAAAAGCAATAACACAGAACTTCCCCGCCCTATTGAGTAATTACTACTTCCTCCGTTCTTTTTTA